AAAGCTTGTTGAAACAAAAATGTATTCAGTTTTTCCTGAAAAGTGCAAATGGTGGGCACTCCTGTATGTCTTAGCTTGGATGCTGTTCTACAAAACAGGAACAGGCATACTAACAGCTTTCCTCCAATTTACTGGGGAGCAGGCTTCAGGTATTTTTGGGAATTAAAAGAGAAACTTTCCTGCAAAATGCAGTAGCCTCCTGGGAATAAAAGGGATAGTAATGCTGCTACTACTAACCTACTATTACTCTCTTGTACATACAACATAAAATCAATCCATAAACCCTTTTTTTACCTCTGTGCATTTGTAAACCACTTAGAGGTTGACTATGATTTCTCTAATATAAGGTAAGAAAAATTGTCTTCATATAATCTGGTTAGATTCTTTTCTGTCACACGACTGTGATGTTAATTATTATTGTTGTTGTTATTGTTATTTTCATTAGAGCTATCCCTAGTTCTTCCCCCTCCTGCCTCCTTTTTTAAAAGTCTGTAGGTAGGTGTTATTTGGAATACTGGGACCTTCTCCTGTTCTAGTAATTCAAAGTCTAGAGGTCACTAATAAATATTGAACCCAGTTGCAATCCTTGGGCTGATCCACACCAGACTTTTTAAGCTCATGGCTCTCCTCCCCTCCCCCAATAATCCTGAGAAATGTAGTTTGTTAAGAGGGCTCAGAATCATAGCCCTGTGAGGGGTAAAGTACAGTCCCCAGGATGCTTCAGGGGACACCATGTGCTTTCAATGTGTTTTTAAAACAGACAGCAACCATTTCACACAGGTTGTTGGCTCCCGTGTTCATAAGCAGAGTGTGTATAAATGTGCCTTGGCCCGTTCCATCCCACCCTGGTCCCATTCTGCCTTCTTCTGAGTCCAAAAGTACCCACGCGTTAGCAATCGCGCATCATTTGAATGTGTCAAATATGGTCGCTGCCTTTATATGGAGTCAATGTAATACCAAAACTGTGATAAAATAGCTATATTCTTTTAATGATACAATCGTACCTCCACTTATGTATCCCTCCGGTTATGTAAACTTCAGGATACTTAAGCGGCAAACCCGTATATTGTTGGTGCTGGTGCTGGTGCTGACCTTTAAAGCCCTAAATGGCCTCGGTCCTTTATATCACAAGGAGCGTCTCCACCCACATCGTTCTACCCGGACACTGAGGTCCAGCACTGAGGGCCTTCTGGTGGTTCCCTCACTGCGAAAAGCCAAGTTACAGGGAACCAGGCAGAGGGCCTTCTCGGTAGTGGCACCCGCCCTGTGGAACACCCTCCCACCAGATGTCAAAGAGATCAACAACTACCAAACTTTTAGAAGACATCTGAAGGCTGCCCTGTTTAGGGAAGCTTTTAATGTTTGATGTATTACTGTATTTTAATATTTGGTTGGAAGCCGCCCAGAGTGGCTGGTGAAGCCCAGCCAGATGGATGTGGTAGAAATAAATTATTATTATTATTATTATTATTATTATTATTATTATTATTTCTGGGGTTTTGCCATGTGCGCATGCACAGAAGCACTCTACCACCCTGTATGTGTGTGCAGAAGCGGTCCCTTTGGTTGTGGAAACCTCGGGATCCGACCAGAGCTCCAGAATGGATCCTGTCCACAACCGGAAGTACCGCTGTATTGCTACTATCTTTGATTCTCTGCATCACCTCTTTCCAGGAAGCCCAAGTCCTCTGTAGCCCTCACATCTACCATTTTCTGCCCTCTTCCCCCAATCTTTTCTGGGTGCCATGCGCTCTTGAGGTTATTTTAAAATATGTTGCCCTCACTGTAATCATCTCCAGAAGGAGAAGAAGACCCCTAGAGTAAATTTCCGTTTGTTTTTCTTTAATGGCATGCAGCTAAATTCTCACCGCATTCTCTGATTTAGTTGTTTATACCCTACTTTTCAAAATAATTGTTGAGTGGTTTATATTAAAAGAAACATATTCTAATAATAAAATACAATATTTGAAAAAAATCAAATAAAGCATAACTGGTTACTGTCACATTAATGCAGATTTTAGAGATTATTGCCTTTTGATTTTTTTTTCTTTACAGACATGCAGAGAGACACTAGTTAATCATAGTGACTGCATATTTTTCTCTCTTTCACTGGAAAGGTAGATCCAGGTGAAAAACAAGTCTCTCTTTGATTTTAGGTATATCATGCTGAAGTGCATGGGTTAAATATTCAACCGACAACTGTAGCTAGAATCTACTTTCCTTTATTAGCTTCCTGGCTCCCAACTCACTGAGCTGCAAACAAAACTCCCACAACCAAATCCATCCATGGACACTGTAGCTTTCATTTGTGTTTTGCCACCACACTTACTTCACAAAATTCTCTGACATTTGATCCTATATGCTCTGTTATTTTAACCTGTAACCTATAAACCTTTCAGGATTTACCTCACTCTGTACTTTTACCTTTGTGCTCTGCTCTTGAAAACAGGGCTGCAAATGGCAGGCGCTTTCTGAGTTCTAAGACAGAGCAGTAACGTTCAGTCCGGCAATTTTCCTTTTATGAAAGAACCCACAGAATGATCCATCCAGCATTGCCTTCAGAAGCTGGATTCTAGAATGAAGCCCATTTTCAAAAAGCAAAGGAAACTGCTGTTTTTCTTTCAAGTTAAAAGGTGGCTTCAGAAGTTGTTCCATAATTATCAGTGGTGTATCATGTGTTGCTTGTGCCCAGGGTAGGCAAGATGCAGGAGGGAGCCTGGTTGGTTGATGCAGCCCTTGGTGGACAAATCCCCTTGATGCTCCACTGGGGTCGCCCCTTGTCCACCTCCCTCTGTCCATTCCCACTCACCGTGGGCCTAGGCTGCTCTGCCATCTTTGTCAGGTCAGGATGGGGATGCCCATGGAAGCTGGCGCCTGTCTGGGAGCACCTGGTTGCACCCCTGTCAGAATTTTGTGCCCGGGGCCACAGCTACACCACAGATAATTATTCATGAGGAGAGATGGAGGAGAAATTTGATTCATTTCACATTTTGAGGTGAACTTATGTAATTCACAATGCCCACAACAATACATGAACTGAAACGTAGCCATCCTTTGAAATTTTCACTTTTCTGAATTTTGCTGTGCAGTTCTTCAGCAGTGCCCAATGAGAGGGGGAAATCCAGACCAGTATTTAGGGTTGCATACACCTTTTTCTCTGGCCATGAAAACTTCCCCTGTGAATATGTAAATACACATGCGTGCGCGCGCACAGACACACATACACACATATATGTGGCAACGTATAGGTGTGAAGAAGTCATTACAGACAGAGCTTTCAGATGAGCTCAAACAAACAAAACAATCAATGAAGCCCTCACACACTCAGCCATAAGTCCTAAATGGCCGGTTCATGCATGCAATGGCCTCTATGTGGCTATTGGTAGCTCTGGCCCAATACTGTCTTACTGGCAGCTGCTTTCCAGATCTTTATCATTACTTGTTACCTCATCCTTTCAACTGGAAGTGCTACTGGCTGAACCTGTGGCCGCCTTCTTGTGCTCTACCACTGAGCTATGCCCCTTGTAAGTCAGAAGGTACGACTTCCAGAGAGGCATGAACTTGGCCCTCCTCATTTTACTTAAGCAAGCACTGCCCACAAGCACAGTTGTTTCATACAGCTCTTGATCTCAAGTGTGAGCTTATCTATCAGGAATCATTGGTTCGACTCTCCCCTCAGTCATTAACTCTACAGTGGTACCTTGGCTAAAGTACTTAATTCATTCCAGAGGTCCGTTCTTAACCTGAAACTGTTCTTAACTTGAAGCACCACTTTAGCTAATGGGGCCTCCCACTGCCGCCGCACTGCCAGAACCCAATTTCTGTTCTCATCCTGAAGCAAAGTTCTTAACCCGAGGAACTATTTCTGGGTTAGCGGAGTCTGTAACCTGAAGCGTATGTAACCCGACGTATCACTGTACTAAGTAAGTGGGGTAAACTGTGTGGACCCAAGACTCACTCCCACATTCCGTACACTGGGGGTATAATGCTCTCTATCGTACAACACCCACAATTTTATAGCCAGACTTCCTCTTCCCCATCTTGCTTGTCAGCCGTCACTTCCTCCAATAGTGAACTCTGGTAGTGAGTGCTAAGAGGATTGTAGCCAAAGCTGAGCCACTGAAAAATAGCACGCTCATGGTTTGCAGAAATGCAACAGAACAAAAACAAAAAACAAATCAAAACCAACAACCTGGGGCAACTGGAACAGAATAGAGTATCCTGAAAGGGCATGGCTTTTTGGCTGGCACACTGAGGAGGAACACTTAATACTGCAACATTTGGTTGCAGGTCCCACTTGTCCTATCAAAATGCTATGTTTAAGGTAACATTTTATTTGTTGCCAGATCAGTTAGGCCTTCTACTATGCACTAACATTTCTTGCAATTTGACAAAATGCCTGCAGACTCCTTTTTTTTTTTTTTTTTGGTCCAATTTTCTTCTAGCCAACATGAAGCTCAGTCCTATTGTTTTCCGCCAGTGTAAACAAAAGCAGAAGATGCCTTTTCATCTCAGATCAATAGCACAGGCAGCTTTCTATGGGGCTTTTCTTTAGCTCATATACTAAATTACAGCATAAAATTATAATTACTGTTCCGTTACTATCATAACCCCTCCTTTTTTCCCTTTCCTCTAGAGGATAATTTACCATGCAGAGAGAGAGATAGGAACATAGTTAACGTGAAGTTGTTTGTCAGTGGGAAGTTGTGATCTCCTGTTTCTGGCACTTGAGGTGGATTCTTTTTTTAGTTTTTTAATTATAGAAAAACCAGTGGAGAAAATAATTAGTTTAAACTGTAAGAGTTTTTATTTAATTCTTACCAACTGAGTTATTATAATTATTTTCCCCATTCTATCATACTGTAAATCGGTGGGTGGTATTTAACTAATGTTTACTCTGAGTAGATCCTCTGAAATTAATGGTGCTAACTTAGTCACAGAATCATAGAATTGTAGAACTGGAAGGGACCACAAAGCTCATCAAGTCCAACCCAGTGCAATGCAGGAATCTTTTTGCCCAACTTGAATCCATGGCCCTGAGATTAAGAGTCTCATATTCTTACCAACTGAGCCATTCTGGCCCTCCCATGCTCTTCAATGAGTCTGAGGAAAAGGTACTTGAATACCATCCTTATATTTTGAGGTGCCTATTGTACATAGCTGGGATCGTAGGCCAACTGAGTTTTGCGGGTAGCAATCAGAAGGCAAAGGAGAAAGAATATAAAATGGATTCATCCCAAAGATCTGATTATAGTACTTTTGTTATGTTAATTATGGACACAATACACCAGCTCTGTCCTCTTGCAGTTTGTTGAAATAAATGGGACTTGATGACTGCTGCTTTGACTGGTTATATCAAAACAACATATGAACTTTGACCTTCGCCATCTCTGCAGCTTCTAGTTACATATACACCTTCCATCTTGGATCAGTCTCTCTTCCAATGTTCTTTCACCTCTCCCACTCCATTCTCTGGCCTTCCTTTCTTCCAACACTCCTTTCTAGGATGGTCTTAATGTGATGCCAAAAAGTGGGCAAGCATCACTTGAAAAGAGGGCACAGATTTGCACAGAAATACACTTCACCATCGCTGGGAGGACTGTGCCGGGGCAACCTGTGTTCAGTCTGCTATTCAGGTGCAAACTACTGGTGGACAACGTCCACACACTCCCTGCTCTTCCTTCTTTATCTTTTAAGCCAGACTTGGACCAGGGTGTCCTTTAAACAGGGGGTTGTCCTCTGACAGCCCTTCCAAATACAGTGGTACCTCGGGTTACATACGCTTCAGGTTACAGACGCTTCAGGTTACAGACTCCGCTAACCCAGAAATAGTACCTCGAGTTAGGACTTCGCTTCAGGATGAGAACAAAAATCGTGGTCCGGCCGTGCGGTGGCAGCGGGAGGACCCATTAGCGAAAGTGATACCTCAGGTTAAGAACAGTTTCAGGTTAAGAACGGACCTCCAGAACAAATTAAGTTCTTAACCTGAGGTACCACTGTAGAGGACTGGCCTAATTCTGCAATCCTAACCCTACTTACCTGGGAGTAAGTCAACAGGACTCACCTCTCAGTTGGCCAAGTTAGGACTGCACACTTATTCTTTTATTTACAAAAATCATCATTATTTGGATTCGTTCCTTTTCCCTCCAAGGCAGTGTACCATCAAAAAACTGTTAACTATGTAAAGTAGAACACATGGGCAACCTCCTGCTTTCGTGGGCTTTCTTGCACTCCTTTGCTGGGGCTCATCATAACCTATCTTTTCCTAATCCTCTGGGTTTTTTAAGACTTCCTTCCCAAGTTCCTGTTTCTGGTTGCAGTTGCCATATAACCAATACTAAGCAAATAGCTTTTTGCCTGTCTGACTCCTAAACAATATTTGAACAGCTCAGCCTGCCGAAATAACTCTAACCTGTCAGTGTTATGCTGGAGGGATTCAGATTTGTTGAATGAAAGTGGATTAAAGGGTCATCCTAGCACAACAAATCCACTTTAAAAGTAAGACTGGGCTTTTTGCAGTTTGGAAAGTGATGGGGAAATGCCTTGAGCGGTATGGGATGAATGAATTATATATAAGCACCCAACAAGCAAATTAACATGAATGCAGGATGAATGTTCATTGTCAAGTGCAGTAACTGCCCATAAACAAATGAAGATGAATGCTTGATATAAACCTGACATACTCTAACCACTGCATAAGCTTTGTGTGAACAAATCGGGGTGAATACTAAGTAAACAGATCTTCTGGAGAAGCCCACAGAGCCTGCATCGTCTCCAGCACTACTTCAGTACAGTACAGTACAGTACAGTACCAGATTTGTAACATGCCAGGGCTTCTCACATTACACCCAGTGGGTGAACTCCAGAAAAAAAAACTGAGGTCTTTAAATCTTTTCCTGAATTGTAAAACCTATTTGCAATTTACCTATGCAAACACAGGGCTCCCATTGCTGGCTTTGGCAAGTGGAGCTCTACGCCAGAGTTCAATTTATTGTGCTGTTAACAGTGAAAGATCTGTATGTGTGGTCACAGGGATGTGTTCATCTGTCTATGAGAAAGTGACCAAGAAAGCCAATATAAACCTTCATCGGCCAAGACCCCAACCTATATCCTCCAGTGACGAGCACATGCATACTGGTCCTATTTATTTCTTTTGTAGTTGCCAGAAAGGCATGCAGAGGTGCAATGGCTGCATTTAGTGTGGGTATCGTCTACTGGCTGTGAAGACATCTGTTCCCTCCCCTTTTTTGCTTTTCTGAAACTGCATGGCAGCATCCAGACTCACCTGCTGCTGTGTACAGCATGGATAGGCAAACTAAGGCCCAGGGGCCGGATCCAGCCCAATCGCCTTCTAAATCTGGCCCGCGGACGGTCCGGGAATCAGCGTGTTTTTACATGAGTAGCATGTGTGCTTTTATTTAAAATGCATCTCTGGGTTATTTGTGGGGCATAGGAATTCGTTCATTTTTATGTTATTTTTCAAAATATAGTCCGGCCCCCCGCAAGGACTGAGGGACAGTGGACCGGCCCCCTGTTGAAAAAGTTTGCTGACCCCTGGTGTAGAGGATGTGCAGCTTATCTGGAGTTGAGCTAACAAACAATATGGATCAAAGCCGTATTGAGGCAAAGGGACTCTTGAGACTTGGAAGACAAATCTGGTTCACTGGTGTTTGTTTGTTTTTAATTTAAAAAAATCCCATTTAAAACAAAACAAAAACTCTTGAGTCACTCTGGGCTGCAGCACTGCAAGTTGGTGTCATGTGGTGGCTATTGGCTCTGAAGAATGTGATTTAAATCTGTATACTGGGTATTACACTACTTCAGTTTCCAGTATCTGTTTATAGATTGCTGATTCCACTAATATTTTATTGCTAACTCGGTCCACTTGTTTACTTTCCTCCACCAGCCACTTTTTCGTTTTTAGGGTCCCTTTGCTGCTAATGGTTTAGAGATGGCACTCTCCCTTTTAAGGAAGCTTATGTCTTGCATGTCATGCTGTGGTTTTGACCGTCTTTGGCTCTCTGCTGATCTCTTTGAAGTCTGATGGCGCATGCACACACACTGCCTCCATACTACATTTTGAGAAGTGCTGCAAATCAGCATCTGAGTGTTCGTTTTTATGCCTGCCAATATTAATTTCCTAACATTTGGTGGAATGGTTTGATAGGCAAAGCATTCATTTCATCTATTTATTGGGCTTGCCAACCTAATTGTGCATTATTTTTATTTATTTTTAAGTATTTGTCATGTAGCATATTTTCCGTGGCAAAATAAAACTTCTTCCTTACAAAACATATATTTATCTTAGGAAAGTGAGACCAAATGCTAAGTTTAAAAAGTGCTACTTACCATATTTCATGCTACGCATTCAAATTCCCCTTTCAAATGTGACCATTCTAATAAATATAACAGGAGCCCATATCTCCTCCCCTTATGCTTTCACACGCTTCCTGATTTGCCCAATTCCACATGCAGCAAGCCCCACAGTTCAATATGAAAACTTGCTTCCAAATATTTACTTATTACATATATTTATAGCCCTTCTTTTCTCCAAGAAATTAAGACTGTCACAGTGGCAGCAGCTGAACACTACAGCTGGTGAGGCAAAACACAGGGCAGCTAACAGCAAGTGGAAATAAACTCGACACACAAAGAAACAGAGTTTATCTAGTGGCAAGGGGTTGGAGAGAGAAAGAGCAACTCTAGGGTCTGGAAGGGGGCAGAAATAGAGAATCCCAGAGGTAGGGAAGAGCTTTTCTGCACTGCATTGTAAGAAAGGAAGGTTTTTTCTCTCAGCACAGCATAGCAACCCAACAATACTGTCTTTCAACCAAAGCAGCACAACCTTCCTGCTACATCCTGCCCAATCTCTGGTGAGGTGTGTGGGCTAAACTCCTCTCTCTCAGAACAGAACTACTGCAGCAGCAGCAGCAATGCAATTGGTTGAAAGCATCCTGAATGAATTCTGATTGGACCAGGGACACCAGTTGAGGGGATTATCATGTAGGCTTGCAGTGGATTGGTTGTGGGAGTTGGCTGGAATGAACCAATTTATGCAAATTGCAGCAAATAACTGTTTCCTGGTTGGCTAGGTGTTTGTAACGCCAAGCAAAGAAGGCTATCTGGAGGACCGGTGGGTCCTGTCATCTTGCCTTTTTCTTTGGGGAAATGCTTGAAGAAAGTTGCTTGCTCTCTCTATCTCTCTTTCCTTCTGAAGAATTATGGGGAGACAAGTCACAACAATGCCAACTCCAAGCAGGAAGGCAGGCAGAGAGTGAGTGATAATAATGTAGGAGAAGAGAAGGGGAGTTGGGCTCAGGCTATGCCACTAAGGAGGAAACTGGGGACTGCTGGGGGCGAGAAGCTGAATGCTGTTGATGGGTTGCTGCCTGTTTTGCTTTTATGGACCAGCTACCCCTGGTGCTGTGCATGCCCCTGCCTTCGTTTTATCCTCCTGACAACCCTGTAAGGTAGATAGTGCCTGGACCAAGGTCATTGAGCAAGCTTCATGGCCGAGTAAGAGAAAAACCTGGATCTCCTCAGTAGACCTAGTCCAACACCCCAACCACAACATAACACTGACCTCTGATGAAGATCTCACCTATACAGTGGCACCTTTGGTTACGAACGTTTCTGGTTACAAGCTCCACTAACCCGGAAGTAGCTGCTCCTGGTTGTGAACTTTGCCCCAGGATGCAAACGGAAATCACGCACCAGAGGCCCCATTAGCGAAAGCGCACCTCAGGATAAGAACGGTTTCAGCTTAAGAACGGACCTCCAGAACGAATTAAGTTCGTAACCAGAGGTACCACTGTAAAGTAGTTTACATATCTACTTTACAAGTGAGATCTTCATGAGAGGCCAGTGTTATGTGGTAATCATGTGGTAAGACAGTAAGAGCACTTTCAGGTACTCTTGTCTAAGACAATTTCAATTCATGCCTGTGTTTTCCTCTTACAATCAAAGTTTATTTTTCTTATCCCACCCTACATCCCAAAGGCACCTATGTTGTTAGCACTTCTGCTGCTGCTGTTGATTTAAGGAATCCTGTCAAGATTTGTGTACAGACAGCTTTCCGTCA